CGGGCCCGCGCGCCCCTTCCTCGAGGGACGCGCCGGGGGCTCGCGCGCTCCCGTGCCCCGAGCGGGTGGCGCGCCCTCCGCGCCGAGCGCTGTGGACGGAGCGCCAGGCGGGCGGAGCCGCGCTGTCCGGCCCGAAGGGGGCCGGGCGCGGGGGCCGCTCCCGCAGAGTGGCAGGCCGGCCGGCCGGCTCAAGCCCACAGCCCAGCCTTGCGGAAGGCCGCAGGCCTGCCACGCACCCGCCGGCCGCGGCCCCCGCGGGGAGGCGGCGCCCGCGAACGCCTTTCATGCTGGGAAGCTGCCCGGGGCGGAGAGCTGCCGCGGATCCCCGGGCCCCCACACTGCGGGCGGCCCGCTGGCGGCCTGGCGAGGAGGCCATGCCCGGCTCCTGCCACTCGCCGCTGCCGGCCCAGCAAAGTCCGCGGCGCTGGACTCAGCCGGGCTGGTTCCTGGTCAGTCTCGGCGCCCACTCCTGGTTTTGTGTTTTGAATCGAGCCAGAGCCGCTCCCGAGGGTCTGGGCGTGTGCTGTTGGGGGCTGGATGCTGGAGCAATAGTTGTGCATTGATTCGGGCCAGTGCAAGGGAAGAGGTTTGAGGCTGGTTCGAAATTCTGACCCCCTCCTGCCCAGTCTCGGCTTTTGTTGTCTGAAAAGGAAACAGAGAAACAGAGTGAGTCAGAAAGGACCCCCCAGGCCATGCAGTCTGACCTCCAGCACCAGCCGGCTCCACTCACGACATGTCCACCATGTGCATGTCCAGCCTGTCCTTGAACACCCGCACCGATGGGGCCTCAACGACCCCCCGGGGAAGCCCATTCCACACCCTCGGGGTCCTAACTGTCAGGAAGTGCTTCCTGGCATCCAAATGCAACCTTGGTTCCCTGAGCTTTGCATAAGAACAGCCCTGCTGGTTCTGACCAGGGCCCATCCAGTCCAGGACTCTGCACGCCAGTGGCAAACCAGCTGCCCACCGGATCTGTCCAGCAGGAGGGGGCTAGACCTGCCCCTGCCCAGCTCCTCTGCAACTCTGGTGGTGGAGATAGTGTCAGAATCCCGGAATCTCAATTTGAGAAGAGGAAATAAAACGCGGGGTCATAGGAAAGATAAATCGTTA